GTTTATATAAGGTTTCAACTTTAAAATGTATAATTAAAGGTGCACCTCAAAAATCCATCGAAAATATTGTTTTAAAGTTGAAAAACTCACTAATTGATTGTCTCGTCGTCGAGATGTATGAATAGAAAAAAAAAAAAAGATTTTGAGTCGTAAAACTAGTGCTTCTTGCAACACATTATCGATATCGTCTATTTTGAAGATTTACTTGATTATAACCATATTTGAAGTTTAAAATTTTATAATTAGATATAAAAATAGATTTTGAGATAATCTTTAAAAAAAAATTATTCCAAAATCACAGGAATTTGTAGGGGGATATGAAGAGTAGGGGTGTGGAAGAATACTAATGAACGTTTCTCTCTCTAAGACAGCTCTAGTTTTGAGTTTCTCTCTCCTCTTTGGTGGGTGTGGTTTGTGAAGACGATAAGGATAGAAATAGGGTATGAGACAGATTGTTAGTAAGTAGAATGAATGATGAGGCCAAAAGGAGGCCAAACCCATGATATATATTATATCCCTTGTGTTGTTAAGAGGGGAAAGGGGCGGGCCCACGCATAAGGGGCTTTAAAACGAGAAAACCACAGGTGGCAATCATCTGAGTGGGGCCCATCCTAAAAGGTGGACTGCTAGAGACAAAACTTGTCGGGGTGCTTGTTTTTTTTTATTTGTTTTTTCCCTTTTTTTTTTTTAAGTTATTAATTATTTATTTCGCCCTATTTTTAGTCACTGATAAGCATCACCTAAAGTTGTAACGGCCGATATCTACTCTTCGGCCGTTATGCACTTGGATAGGGGCTTAAATATTTTTACATTTAAAAAAGATACCAGTTCGAGTTTTCATCTCTTCCATAGCTAAATTTTGAAGTTTCAGATATTGTTTCCATTTTGTAGATTTTTAAGATAAATTATGGTTCGAAAGTGAGGTTCGGATCATGGTTAGATATTGTTTCCATTTTGTAGATTTTTATGATATATTATGCTTCGAAAGTGAGGTTCGGATCATAGTTGGATATTGTTTCTATTTTGCAGATTTTTATGATAAATTATGGTTCGAAAGCGAGGTTAGGGTTGTAGTTATATAGACTAGCGGATGGATGACTAGACTATGTCGGTCTAGCGTAAAAATTAAGTTTGGTAAAAAATAGTACAAAATTAGTATTTAAGTTGGTCAGTTTGATTGTTCGGTTTCGACTAGTTTGACCGTACAAACAAAGTGGGCAAATTTTATTTTTTTTAATATATTACATATTTTAAATTATTTTTCATATTTTTTCTTAATACTATATGATCAAACCAGTTCGATCAGAGACTAGACCAGTTTGACTGGACCAAATCCCTTACCAAATTAGTGGCTCGTCCGACCTTGATAAACTGGTTCGGACTAAAGATTGGGTAGGGTCTTAAGTCCAACTTGCCTTTTAAGGCTTGGCCAAGTCTATTACAAACGCAACCAGCTCTAAAAGCAAGGTTGCTCCTTGTCGAGTCCAAGTAACTTGGTCACATCTGAGTGGACTCACATGGGTTTTACAACACTCACATAAAATTGATAGTCACTCAACAAGTCATTTTTTTGACAAGAGTACTTTTTTTTTTTTGGTAATTCAGTAGGGATAACGAGCTCCTTTCTGTTTTTAAATCATTAGTGTTTTTTTAATGCATTATGTGAGAATGGAAGCCAAGATCTTAGCTAGACCACAAGTGATACCACCACCGTGACCCCAATCTCATTCTCTTTTTGGCAAGTGTACTTACTTTTTATTAATTACACATGAATTATAACTAATACATCAAAACATTACAAATGACACAATCAAATAATCCAAAACCGCTCCTTTCTTCATCAAAACATCCGCAACTCATTCGCTTCTCTATAAACATGATGAAAGCTTACTGACCAAGGGGGCATGTAGTTAAGCCGATGAATTTCTCATATTTAGAAAAATTCAAAATAATAAAAAACTTGGATAAAAAGTTTAAAACACGTCTAAAGCCTCTTTTAATTGAGATATTACAAAAATTTTGGAGGAATGGCTAAAAGAAGTAGATGTGTAGCTTTGTTGAGGAACTAATGTAACTAGTGATAGCCAACTAAAAGATTGAGCAAGCATGCTAAACACCAACTACTTTTTTTGAATTTAATGCTTAAATCCGATCCAAAGCTGAAATATTTACCCAAAAAAAAAAAATGAAACAAAATTAAAAAGACATTTCCACAGGTAAAACATATTTCAAATCCATTAATTTAAATTGTAATCCCGAAAGTATAGTAGAGTTTCTTGATCACTTATAGTATGTTTCTCTAAAACTTCTTTTGAGAAATATTGAAAAATAAAATTTATGCAGATCATCGGAAAAGAGGGGTTCGTGGTGCTAGCACCCCACAGCCTAATCATTATGTTGTGGTTTTCATTCCCACCGACACTACCCCACTAAAATTTTCGGAAAACAAACTCGTGAACTATTTGAAAAAAGGGATACATGTCTTCTCTACTAAATTACCAAAAAAAAAAAAGGTTTAAGATCAATCTGGTGAAGGGTAATTCGGAAATTGTAATAGGAGACAAAGACCTATGGGGAAGGAAAACTTTTTTGAAATAAAAAGAAAAAGGTCACCTGGGAAAGAAAGGAAAAATTTGGAACATGGGGTTAATATAATATTATTATTATTTGTTAAGGTGAAGTGAGTGTGCGTTGCATTAAGTGTGAAAATGTAAGTGTTTTTTTATTCAAGTTGGAAAGCGAAGTATGAGTGATAGTGGAGTTTCACTTTCGAATCTAGCGGGGTTTTGTATGGGAGGACCACAAATGCTACGGCCAACAGCAAGAATCCGAGACACTTAGAACAACCACTTACAAAAGGAGAGAGAAAGCGAAAAGAGGAGAGAGAAAGTAGGCCCAGCCAAGGCCCTTGCCCGGCCTAGATGCTTAGTCGGAGCTGCCGGCCCGACTTAGAATGGGTCGAATAAGCCATAGTCCTATGAGAGGCTAGGGCGGGGCTGGTTAGGGTTGATGTGGCCGCAACCAAACCCTCATGGGTAACATCTTAACATTTGTGGCTCAAGTCCTAATTTTTTTTGGATGGTACCGTGAGCCCTTAGGCTCCGGTACCGATCCATAGATGGATAACCACTCTATATAATACACGTCGTGTGCTCAACTAGAAAACCCACCCCAACGCCAGATTCGGGCGGCGTGCACCCGGGTGGCGTGAGGCTGAGGCGATCCCAACGTAGGTAGGTTAAGTGAGAGCACGAGAGAGAAAATGCTAAATATTATTTGTATGACCCACCTCTTCTCTCTTCCTTTTGTATATTGCCCTTAATGGTTTGGGTCGAGGTCGATGACCCTCCTCTCCCAAAACATCTATATAGTAAGTAGTACATGCGTATCAGTTTTACACACTCGGCTTTCGAATTCAACCAAACACTTTCTCTCTCTTATCTCTTGCTCTTTTTCTCTATTTTTACATCCGCATAGGACCTCCCCACCACTATTCGTGTGTTTTTGTGTCTCAGTATTGTCTGTTCATCTTTTAGAGAGAGATGGAATGTAAGAGTTTCTACCATGTATTTTGCTGTGTGGATTCTTTTTTTGTGGGGATTTTTTTTTGTAGTTATATGAATGTGAGAGTGTGGTAGAGAGATAAAAAGGAAGACGTACTTGGATTGAGGGATTAAAACGAATATAAGCCATGATTTTATATGGGCTAGTGTGAGAGAGAGAGAGTGTCCTGATTTTGAGATTTTAGAGAGAGAAAGAGAGAGCTTCGATTTGGGGGCATTGGCATTTAAAAGTGAATGGATATGGAGATTAGGATAAGGCCCTTTGAAAAGCTTAAAGACTCAGGCATGGTGGAAACCCTAGAGAGAAGTTGTGAAGTAGGGCCAAGCACTACTCTCTTCACAGACATGATGGGCGACCCCATCTCTCGAGTCCGCAACTGCCCACATTACACCATGCTGGTACCTCTCTCTCTTTTTCTCTCTCTCTCTCTACAATTGATTTCGTTTCTCTCTCTAATCTTCTTCTTTAGGTGGCTGAACTGCAAGGTCTGATAGTCGGAGTAATACGGGGCTCGATCAAGACGGTGCTCTGCACCGGCGGCGGTGGCCGAGGCCCGGTGCAGGCCAAGGTGGGCTATGTGCTTGGCCTTCGCGTGTCGCGGATGCATCGTCGTCGAGGCATTGGTCTGCGCCTGGTTCAGTGTCTGGAAGAGTGGTTGGTTGAAAATGGAGCGGAATACGCATACATGGCCACTGATAAAGATAATGTTGCCTCTGTGAAGCTATTTACTGAACGTTGTGGCTACGCCAAGTTCCGCACCCCGACCGTTCTCGTGAACCCGGTGTGTCCGTACCCGAAGCGCATCCCTTCATGGGTCCGGGTTCAGAAGCTGAGGCCCGATCAAGCGGAGACACTTTACAGACAATACATGGGTTCTCAGAGCGAATTCTTTCCCGACGACATAGACAGAGTGTTGCGCAATGAACTGAGTCTCGGCACCTGGATCGCCTACTTGAGGGACGAGACATGGCACGGTGTGCTCACCGGAGAGTCGCCACCGAGCTCGTGGGCGGTGGTGAGCGTATGGAACAGTGCCGGGATGTTCAAACTGCGGGTCGGGAATGCGCCCACTGGCTACGCACTGTGTGCACGAGGCTCTGCCATCCTGGCGCGGGCCCTCTCCTTCCTGCGCCTGCCATTCTTCCCCGATGTCTTCCGATGGTTCGGGTTCCTCTTCATGTACGGCCTGTACATGCAGGGACCGAGCGGCGGGGACCTCACGCGTGCCCTTTGCCACTGGGTTCACAATTTCACCGCCAAGCGCAAGGACTGCCGGGTCGTCGTTACCGAGCTCGGCGCCCTCGACTCGTTGAGATCCCATGTCCCGCACAAGAAGAGCCTCTCCTGCCAGGACCTGTGGTGCGTCAAGCCCTTGCGCGCTGGTGGGCTCGACTGGGCTCGGACCCACCCACCCCGAACCCTTTTCGTTGATCCAAGAGAGGTCTAGTCCGAGTCCACGACTGGGGCCGTTGAGGGAAAAATCATAGTCCACTAACGGTCCAATCAATGAACAACCGCGATGTAGAAAGTATAGTCAATGAGTCCTGACCATACAATCAATTAATGGACGGTGATGGTTAGACAGAAAAGCCACCGGCTTTCCCGAATTGGGTGCCGACCCAGAGTTAGAGAGAGAGGAAAAGAGGCCGCGTACTAGGCCCGTGGTGGTCCATTGCACGGCCAACCCGTGATTAAATTACGAGGAAGAAGGTGAAGGTTGTTGTGGCCTTTCTTAAATGCAAGTCCCTTTTGAGGGAGGTTCACGTGCAATTTTTTTTTTTTTTTTTTTTGAGTAGGTAAGTTTCAGAGATGATGAATGAAATATATCATAATAAAAAGAAAATAAAAAAGGAGCGATTACACATGGACCTTAAATTTTTTTCTAAAATACGAAATACTTCATTTATAGGTAGAAATTACAAAAAAGGGTTGGTATACCTATTTTTATTTTTAATTTTCAAAATTACCCCTTTATACAAGGACATCCTCCAACCGAAATTTACTTTTTATTTTTTAGTAGTAGGGCATTACCCTAACGCTTCGGGTACTGCCTTATTAATGAAAAACTTTAAAAAAATAAAACAAAATAAACTTTTGAGTTTTTGACTAAAGCTTCCATACTTCGACCAAAGGACAATTTTGAAAACAAAAAAAACTAGTCGAACAACTTTATAATGTAATTTCTACCTATAAATAAAGCATTTCATATTTTACAAAAAAAATTAAGATCCGTACATAAATCACTCAAATAAAAAGAATAGAAGAAAAGAGAAAAGAATAAAGGGGAAAAAAAAGAAACACCAGGCCATAGTGGCCATTTTCGCTAGGGGGTCAGGTATCTCCATTGAAATCTCTAAAAACATGAGCGCACTTCTCTTCCTCAAAGACACGAGAGAACTTCATCCATAATCGGGCTTAATAACCAACAGGCTTAATAAACAAGCCCTGCCATGTATTAAGGGTCGCCCATAATAAATTCACTCTCTAAAATTTCTCATGTTTGGTACCGAAGGGATGGCTCGTTATGATAGCATCCCACTGTCTATTTTCACTATGTGGTTTTCATTTCTACTCCTACTAATTTATTAATATTTTAATAAAAAAACTAACTCCTTAACTTTTCCGACGCTGCTGTTTTCATTCCTATTGACTCACCGTACTAATGTTTTAATAAAAAAAATAACTCCTAAACTTTGTGAAAAAAACATGTCTTACCCCTCGATGAATTACTAAGAAAATAACTGTTTCATGTTTGGCAAGAGTGGGCGTTTGGTGCTCGTGGCCCGCGCGTGTCTCACGCCGCCCGCGCTAAAAGTGGGCAAATGCGGCCACTATAACCACACACGAGAGTTTAGAGAGGGAATTGTCTTTTTCTCGTGTTTCTCTTGTGGGGGTCCCTTAACAATGATTAAAGGCTCGGGTTCTTAATTTGGGGCTAATCATCTTGTAGGATATAATTATGGGACACGTCAAAAGCCAATTACCTTCCCAGAAACGCCACTACGCGCTTTGTAAGATCATATGCCACTGGGCTTTGTCCCTCTTTCGCTCTCTAACTATAATTCTCTCGTCTTTTTTTTGCTTTGTTATGGTGGAAAAGTTTGCAGTCACGAAACATGCTAAACTAACCTCAGATATTTTAGGGTTTCCTAACTTTGGCAATAAGTGGATATCTAAGTGGGTGTACTATCTAGGTTATAGGCTTTCTCTTTCTCTTTTTGTATGTTCACACTCTTTCTCTCTCTAAGTTGCCTTGGTGGTCATGGTTTCTCTCTCTAGACTTCTCTCAATTGTATGTTGAGTACAAGTATATTTGTGTTGCGCGTGCAACCTCCATTTGGTCGTCTCTTTCCATAACACTAACACTTTGTATTTTTTTTTACTTCCTCTCTCTCTCTCTCTCTAATAGAGGTGGCAATGGACCTGGACCCGAGCACTATTCGGGTTTAGGTTCGAGTCCGGTTGGACCCGACCCATATTTTAACTATCAAACAACAAATCATACGGCTTGAAATCTAACAGTAGGTGCCAGTGATTTTGTTGGCAATAATATGGGCATATAATAATAAGAAATGTGTATAAAAGTTCCTAATGATGGTGGCAATGAACCCAACTAGACTTGAGACCCGACGGAATAGACCCAATGGTTATGAGTATGGACCCAACTTCTAGATAGGTTGGGTCCAAAATACATTTAGTTCTGGGTCAAGATCCAGTCTAGCCGGACCCGATCTATTGCCACCGCTACTCTCAAATTGCTATTTTGATATACAATGGCATCCATGTGTCTCTCTCTTTCTAACCGTCTTCTCTCTAATCCTCTATTCTCTTTCTCTCTCTAAGATTTTCTCACATAACGCATTTCATGGTCCACACACAGTTTCTCGTGGGTGCTATATTTGCGATAGACATAACTGCAAAGAAGTGTGTTGAGCTGAGGAGAGTAACGCCTAATAATATTAACCAACCCCAACATGCATGGATGTCAGAACCAACCAACGTTCTTCTTTTGTTACATTTCCAACTATTGACACGCTTTTCATTTCTAACTGTTTCTATAATTTAGTGCCACTACCCCCACATTTCATAAGAATCCTACCCTCAAACCTACATTTTCTTATGCCATGTGCTACTTCGAACCCCCCTATGAGAGAGAGAGAGAGAGAGAGAGAGAGACTCCCCTTGTATATGAGAGAGACCAATGAACCGGCCCAACCTGGAATCGGGCACGAGCCGATCTGGTTTTGGTTGGATTTGGAGGTCCGGCCGAATATTTTTTTTAAAAAAAAGTTAAAAAAAAAGCTATATAAAATCTTGAAAAATAAGGGATTTGTTTGTAATGTAATTTTTTAATTTTTTTATCATTTTTACAAAGATCGCAAAGTATCGTGAATACTTATTTTACATTTTTCCATTTTTTTAAAAAATTTCAAAAATATCCCTGAGCACAAATCGATTTTTGAAATCCATTTTCTTCAATAATTTTCAATTTCAGTTAGATGTGTTTTGTTTAATCATACTTTTTTTGTTTTTTAGATTTTATTTATATTTTTTAGTTTTTATGCTTCTTGAAATGGTGAGAATATGCTTGATTAGACCGAATGAATTGGCCAGTTTACTGGTTACTCAAAACCGGCCATTGGCTAATTTCTTAGGCGGGTTTGATTTTTCGAACCGGTTAGTCAGTCCCCCTTGGCTTTTTTAAGAGACACAAGGAAGCTCCTTAGGCAGAGCTTGTACACCCCTAAAAGGAGAAGAGGTAGAGACAGAGAGAGAGACCTCTTTGGCTGTATTAAGAGCCACATAGTCATGGTCCTCGGGCACAAGTTGTAGACCCATAAATAGGGAAGTTACAAACATAGTCATGACCCCACACAATTGCTCAATCACATGTACTCCATGCATAGGGTCTAGAAACCTCTTCAGTTTCGATGGATATAAAAAAAGAACACTTTCTAATAGGGGAAAGCGCATGCTAAAAGCTACAATCGCAAGGCCTTGACTGATACTATATGACTTCATCTCAATAGGGACCTTAAAGCCCAAGTTCCATTCATAGCAAGGGCCTTTCGATTGAAAACATCACAAAAAAGACCTAAAAGGCCCTTATGAAAAGTATACCAATAGACCATT